TTTAAATTCTCTGTTTCACCTAATCTTGTGACGATCAGCAGTTGGATGACCTTTACATCATTTGAGTTAAAGAACCATAAGGATAAGTTGTGCTGTAGCCATTCTTTTATTTCACTGTAATCTGAATTCCTTGACTTAAATATTAATGTACAGGAAGTCTGTAAATAAGGAATAGTTGATGTGTATCTACGTACTGTCATATGGGACCAGCGTATTTAAAACATAAAAGAGCTCAGTATCTAAATACACATGCCCTTTCTAGCACTGATGAATGTTTTGTTTCTCTAGCAGGAAATCTCAATGCACTGAGGTCATTTCAGTGTGGAATGAGTAAGTGGTTCAGTCTGGAGCTGAATAGCATTTTTTAAACTTTTCCTGTTTTTCCATTTATAACATGATTTTTGTCTAAATCTTAAACTTGACTAAAGAGACAAAATGTCATAAAGGATAAGTCATTTCAACAAAATGACCATGGTTTAGCAACCAAAAAATTCTTAACTCTATATACCTCCATTTAATGGATGAAATCCATATGCTTACTAATTCTGCCTGACTAATGTAGTCTGTCTCACAAGCTGTGTACTATGCAGATAGATTTCAGGTATAAACTCAGTTATTGAGATCTGAAGCATTCTCCATTTTTAACTTCTGCCCTAGAAACCCTTAATGAATAAATTCTCGTTACGATGATCCCTTCATGGGCTAGTTATAATCTGATATACGTGAGGTATTAAATGTTGGCAAATTAATGTTTCTTTTTGCTTAGCGAGACCTAGGTGACCTCCATGGTACTGAGGATTACTCTTTGACTTGTATTTTATTCCTGACTATGTCTCTTTTCTGATGGCTGTTGTGAAGTTTGCAAAACAAAATTCTGATGGAAACCATTTTTTGTTTGGGTCTAAACATTCCCCTAAAGCATTTGCAGCTCAAAGGTTGCAGCACATGAGAGTCAGAAAGTGAAACTGACAAGGTTACTTCAGTCTAACTGGTTGAATGACACAAAGTAAATAAATAGCCTCAGTATTGCCTATCCCAACATTTAAATATAATGAGTCAAGCTCCAGAAACCATGAGATTGGCTTAAAAATCATGAGATTTAAAAATCATAATTTTGAGGTTCTTTTTATTTGCTTTCTCATAGTGGAGTCTTTAGGGTTCACAAGCTTTAAGCTTGTCTCTGCAACTATAAGGGCTAGAAATGCACTTTATTTTTGTTTTCTAAGAAAGTTGAGATTGCCAGGTAATAACATGATTCTAGCAGCAGGGGCTTGAAGAAAAACACCAAATATCACAGCATTCATAATAAAAATCAGGAGTTGGCAACACTGTAAATATCAGCCCCATCCTCCCTTCTACTGTGCAGGGTGTGGAAGCCTGACCCCAGGTAGCAGCTGGTATATGCAGCTTACTTTTCTCAGCGGCAAGCAGCAAGGATCTGCACTGTTTTGGGGGAAATGCCCCAAACTTGTTCTGTGGCCCCACAAGCCCCCCGAAGAAAGCATTAATTAGGAACTGTCCATTTCCTCTCTCCTCCACTTCAGGCTGTATGATGGGATGGTAGAGTTTTGTCTGCCCCGTGATTTCCTTACTTTACCTAAAGAGGTATAATATTTCAATGGCCTCTTGGATTACAGGATCATATTATTTTAATGTTTTTCGTCTAATGATAGTTATAACATTTGTTTCCCTCAACAAATGGTTCAGAGGGCGGTGCAACTAAGTCAGAAAAGCAACCCTGAATGATAAAGCTCTGACACTGACCCATACACAAAGTTTTATTTGACTTTCTTCCTTCCTTTTGTGCAGGCCTCACCACCACCTCACTGAGGCAGCCAAACAAAATCTATTTCCCTTCTCTTTCTCCAGGGGCCACTACTTCCCTTTAGTCTTAATGCACAGTCTGTCATGTATCAACCACCTCCACATCCCTTTCCTTTAGCCAAAAGGGACATTTTTTAATAGTTTCAGAAGGGGTGCAGGAAAAAGTTCAAACTGTATAAGAGAGAGTTAATGCTGTCTAATGGTCTGAAAATGGCACAAGGGGTCAGGAACTCCTGTGTTCTCATCTTGGCTCTGACACTGACTTTGTGTGACCTTGGCCAACTCATTTAACGTATCCATGCCTCAGTTTCCTCACCTACAAAATGGAAATAATTATGCCTATTCACAGGGGTGAAATGAGAAATAGTTGGTTAATGTTTGTAAATGGCTCTGAATCTGTAAAGTGCTATGTAAGTGCTAAATAATATAACAGCTACTTTCTGTTAACATGGGTCCTATGCTTGCTCTAACCTTCGTCCTATACAGTGTCTTTCCTTGCCTTTTGATCTGAGGCAATTACTTTCTTCTTTCTCAAACTGAATAAATTATTTCTTAAGTTTTATTCTTTATTTATCATTTCTATATTCCAAAGGAGTTTGTAATGTAGGGCAGCTATATTCTGGAACAAGCCAAAAAATTCCTGTGGTATCCCATAAATCTCCTCTGTAACTACTCCTTACATTAAATTCATATGTTTTAGGTGTGGAACCTTTTTAATCCTTTCAGCTGTTTATTCTGAAATCCAGGTTCTAACTCAGTTTTTTGCCTGTTCTATTTAACGCAGTGCTCAAACATCTCTTGTGTTTCAGAAAAAATCCACAAGGCAGCTCAGAAGTGACGAGAAAGGCAAAGTCTCTAGCAGAAGTATTGGATTAGACACAGCTATGTCTCACCCTGCAGAAAGTGAGCATCCACCTGATGAGTTTCATCTGTCTCCTTCTAAACCATGTTGGATCAAGGAGGGATCTGCCCAATATGAAAGCTTCTCAGGATTCAATAGCAGCGATAGTGTGTTAAGGGAAATGGATGATGGACAGTTCGAGCAGGAAGATGGAGCCACTCAGGTCACGTGTATGTGACCAAGTAAGTAACTGTATTGGAGGGAACTGTAAATAATTAAAACAAATGTAAAGACTGAATTTACTACATTACTTTATATGCATTTGTATAATCCTTTAGTTTTCCCAGACCCGTGTTTATATATCTTTTGCTACTTTCTAGAGTTATACCGTTAGCAAATAATACTACTACTGTAAAATACCTTGTGTTTATGTCTGTTCTTAATGGAACATTGCATTTCTAGAACTCTGCTAACTTCATTGGTGATATTCTCAATGATGCTTATAAACAACAGGGAAGCAAACTTGGCTGATCAGATATGGCTTGTGGTCTAAGAGACAGTGGAGTGGGAAAACATAATGCTTTCCACAAGTAGGGGGAAATGGTATTTTTCTAAAAGAGTATCGCAAATTTTGGAGGATTTAAAAAAATTAACTATAAAGTACTTGACTGTCCTTTTAAGTTTTAATTGCAATTTTCAGTTTATTTGCCTTGCCTAAATCCAGAATCTGTTAAATCTAGAAATGTCAGTGCTGCACTTTCAGTCTCAATGAGAGTACTGTAGCCGGATGTACCTAACACACAAAGCCACATTCCAGCTTGCATACGTGCACACTGTTAAAACCAAAGGCAATGGGAGTGTGTGTGGTGGATGTTTTCTGCCCTCATTCAGTTACATCTAAAAGAAAGGAGCTGTCAGGGACAATCCAAAGGGCCTCCTAGGACATGGTCAGCACAACTAAGTATTACCTTACCAATCAATGGAAACAGATCATTTGGAAGGCTATGCAAAGAGTGTTACCAGTAAGATTATGGGTGCATACTAATGCTGCTTGTATGTAGCTCTGTTTTGGGGGCAGTCATGTGGAGAGGCAAAATTTGACCCATAGGATCATATATGAAAATATAAAAGCTATGTCTCAACTGAATACATATATCAGTGTGTGTAAAATGTATTCACCTGTTCATAAAGTTCCTGGTTGGAAGAGACTTGCTTGCAGATGTAATTATGAAAACTATTATAGATCAGCATCTTCAAGGAGAGTAGCTCAAGAGGCTTGAGTACTGAGAAACCCTAACATTGACAGAGGTGTGTTGGAAGAGGTGTTAATAATGATCTTCTACAGCTGTATTGCAATAATACTTAATTCAGTCACTGCCTAATTTGATCAGCCATTTAGCTTATTAAAAACCTCTGGAACCAAGTCATTAGTATAAAAATAAATTAACAGCTTTCATCCTTTATTCTGATCAATGTTGGGCTCTTTAGGCTGGTATTGTAGTTCAGTCATTGCCTATAGAAAGTTGCCATTTAATAGAGAATGCAAAATTTTTAAATGAGAAAAGGATGGAGAGTGGGGGAAGCCAAAGAAAAATGCATGTGCCGATGATAAAGGTGATTGAATAATGCAAGTTTTAGTTGCAATCAATCACTGTTATGGACATTATAAGCACAAGCTGTGACATGCACCGTCACAAGACATTTGATTATAACAGGATCAATCACTAATTTCATTTAAACTGATGGGAACAGATTTTGGCCAAAATAAGAATGGCACAGTACTAAATGTAATTAAATGACAATCAGGGTCCTTTTACTACAGTTGGATGGAAGGAAGGCCTCGCTTAACTGACCCTTCTCTTTCTTTAACCACTTTGCACACACGATGCATTAGGTAAAATTTCCCTCCAGTATTATCCCATATACATCCCCTTTGAAGTGGCTCTATTCCAGTAGAATATTTATACTTCAAAAAAGACCACTGTGTTCAAAGGGACTTCTGGCCAAGACTGGCAGTATGATGGAATTCACAGTAGACAGAAGGAATGATAATTGGATCCTCAGGGCCAGCAGGGTGGTGAGAACATGTTTATGTTATTACTGTGTAATGAGCAACACTGAATCAGGGAAAGGTTTAGTGCTGTTTCAATTCAATTCAGTTCCATGGGGTTGTTTGTTGTTGTGTTTTTTTTTTTTTTTTTTTTTTTTTTTTTTACAGAAAATCCAAGAAATAACGCACATCAGAGAATGAAGATATTTTAATGGAAGCTGGTAACAACCCCTCCATTTAAGCTGCCTAACACTTTTTCTATTGTAGAAAATTCTTGCCAGTTTGGTTGGTTGGTTTGAGAAGCTGTAACACCTCTGGGTATTTAAATTTGGCAGAGAAAAACGCTGGGATTAGAGATGTGCCTTTTACTTGTCCCATGAAATTCCATTCAGGTTTGGCGGCGTTATAAATGGTTTAAAATTGTCATTTCCCTTCTCTCTCTTGGATTCTTCAGGAAAATGTTGGCAGCATGTCAAAATAATAACTGAATTTGAAAGTTTTAAGAGCCAAGTCCATCTCACAGCAGCGCACACAACTGGGTACGCGGGGAACTGCCAGAGTAGCTTATGCAGTGGGGTTTTGGGAAAGAGCTTAGATGGGGCTTCCCCCGTGCCCTCCACCAAACAGACCCAGCAAATGACTGCAGCATCTCATCCCATTTCTGGGGAGCTTGCTACACATCCCAAGGTGGAGGGTGTGATGTTGTGCACTCTATATGGTTTTATAAAAATATGACAAGTGAATATAATGTAACTGGGATATGCTTCATGCAAAAGGTCTCTTGTAAGGTATCATTACAAAGCTTATAATCTACTGAGTGTGATCATCCTATTTGTATAAATATACCACTCTTGTATCTAAAACTAGAAATATAAAATATAACTCTGAGGGCCTATTGTAATTATGCAAAGTGTGGGCCATTAATGGTGGTTTGGAATCTTGATAACTCCTATTAACCAGGACCATTGTTTGCAGATGGCTGTTTTACCTGTGAGTCTTCCTGTATATGTGTGTGCTGGCAAGTGGGTAATGAAGTCTTGCAGTGACATGTGATCATGTCACCTGAACTTAAATCCATCTTTAACCTGGTGCTTTTCCAGTGGGGGGCAGGGGGGAAACCCAGAGGGACAAAGGGTTCCCGCCTTATGCAAAAGATATATAAAGGAGTGGAACAGAACAGAGGGGAGAGAAGAGCCATTATGACGAATCCCCTAGCTATCACCTGAGCTGCAACAAGAGCTGTACCAGGGGAAAGAATTGTGCCCAGGCCTGGAAGGTGTCTAGTCTGAGGAAAAAACTTACTGAAGCATCTCTAAGGGTGAGATTATTTGTACTTAGTTTGATTAGACATAGATTTGCGCATTTTATTTTATTTTGTTTGGTAACTTACTTTGTTCTGTCTGTTACTACTTATGTAACCCTTCTGCCCATCTAAGTTGGCAGCGACAAGGGCCGGGTTCTGTATCTAGGGGTTCCGTTTCAATAACACAATGCAAAACCGGCTCGAGCCCCCACCTAGTGACCTGGGACAATTACATACCACCCCCCTGGGTACCTCTAAGAGGCAATACTTCCCCTCTCGCAAGCACGGAGTCTGAGTGTAGCAGAAAATGTTTAATAACATGAGGTAAACGACATCAGCATAAAATTGGAAAAACACCACAAACAGGATTCATAACACAAACCATGAGCAAAACCCACTCCAGCAAATTGGGCTGTGTCCTTTCCCTTTGGTTGAATCCAGCAACCCAAAAATCACCCAGAGTCCCCAAAGTCCAACACCCCCAAAGTCTCTTGGGTCCAGCAACCACCCAAAGTCCCAAAAGTCCAACAACCCCCAAAGTCTCTGTCCCTGGTCAGTGCAGCCCCAGAGTAAAAGGGGGGGGGGGCACGCAGGGTGTTAAGGGGCACCTTACGTGATCCGAGGCTGGCCAGCCGTCTGTTTTCTCCGTGGGGGTTCCACCGCAGCCTTTACCATGAGCCAGTCCACTTTCCTGCCATCCCACGAACTGCTCCGCTCTGAAAGCTGCTCCGCTCCGCTCACCGACCTGTGAGCCGTTCCAGCCGTCCCCGCAAACAGCTCCGCTCGCCGTTCCTTGGGCCACTCCAACCGGCCCCGCAAGGCTCCACGCCGCTCGCTGCTCCTCCAGTCGTCCCCACAAATTGCTCCGCCAGCTGCTGAGCAATATAGCTTCAGGCTCCCCCACTAGTTAACACAGCACTCAGTGATCTCAGCTCTTAATAACATCAGCTCTTTTGTGATTTCAGCTCATAGTAGGGGAGCCCCAGTGCTGGTGCACCATTGGCCCAAAGTGAATTCAGCTCAGCAGCCTGTAACTAGACTCCTAAGGGAATCAAAGTTAGCTCTGACATTCAACAGTGGAGAGAGGAGGCGGTGAAATTGGTGTTTCAAACCCTCAGAGGGGGCCTATACCATCAAGTACAAATACCTGTCCCCCATCCTCTCTCAATTCACTGGGTTTTGTAACCCATGCCCCTTGTCAAGCAAGTGCTACTTAGGTAATGGTGAAGGACTCACTCAGTCCTTCTGTCATACAACAGTTCCACTGGCCTTGATTCACAGAATCAGGGTAACAAAACTTTATTCTTCCTGCCCCAATAATAGAGAAACTGGGGATCCCACACCAGCCAAAGTAACCACTTTCAGTTGCTGTGTTTCATGCCAGGCGAGTGGGTGTGCCTGTGCAAACAAGATCAGCCCCTGGAGTTCTTTTCCACACTCGCCATAATTCACCACCAGATGTCAGGGTAGAGCTCATCCTGACTCTGCTTACACTTAGAACCACTTATATCCTACTTTCTGTATTTAATAAAATCACTTTTTACCTATTAATTAACTCAGAGTATGTATTGATACCTGGGGGAGCAAACAACTGTGCATATCTCTCTATCAGTGTTATAGAGGGCGAACAATTTGAGTTTACCCGGTATAAGCTTTATACCGGGTAAAACGGATTTATTTGGGTTTAAACCCCATTGGGAGTTGGGCATCTGAGTGCTAAAGACAAGCACACTTCTGTGAGCTGTTTTCAGGTAAACCTGCAGCTTTGGGGCAAGTAATTCAGACCCTGGGTCTGTGTTGGAGCAGATGGGAGTGTTTGGCTCAGCAAGACAGGGTGCTGGAGTCCTGAGCTGGCAGGGAAAACAGGAATAGAAGTAGTCTTGGCACATCGGTTGGTAGCTCCCAAGGGGGTTTCTGTGATCCAACCCGTCACAGTGGCATAGTCGAGCAGGATCTGTGCACAGCTGATTGCTTTGAGGTGCTAGTAGTGATTTTAAGTGAGTTTTAAGTGTGGTGGCTGGAGAACAGACAAAGTGGTTACTGGTTTGTTATTTTCTGTTTGCTTATTTCGGGAAAGGGAAGTAGGGACAGAAAAGGAAGCAAAATAAGTAAGAATAAAGATTAAAAAAAAGCTAAAACTACACAAGTTGCAAATTGCTCAAAAAGACTGAACAATGGGCACTGGGAAAGTCTCTGTTAACTAAGAAGCCGCTGAGCTGAGTGCATCTCAGTTTCAGTGAACTGCAGATGGGTGTGGCCCAACCTCTGTCTGTGCTGAACCTGACTGGAGTGTCTAACTTAGCAAGACAGGAGTGGAGGGGTGCCTGTTCTGGCAGGAGGGGGTTCTCTGTGGTATCCCAGCTCATCGAGTGATGGTCTCAAGGAAAAACAAATGAAAATTGATGTACAATTTGCCCGGGAAAAGGCTGACCTGGAAAAAGAAAAGGCTGCCCACCAGCGTGGACTTAAGAAACAAAGCAATTAAGACCCAGAAGCATGAACTGGCTGTAATGGAGTGGAAGAGGGGCACAGAGACATGTATCCTGGAGCTGGAAGTTGGGGTCCTGGTGACTGCTGCGGTGGGAACAAACCCCAAGGACTCTAGCTGGAAGCAAACCCAACCTGAGTGAAAGGGGGGGGGGGTTTGCTGGCCAGCGAAAGATCTGTCATAGCTGGTAGCTGTGAGCCTACAGCTGGATCAGGGTCTCTTTCCCTTTTGGGGGACACAGGAGTGTCTGCCCCATAGGGGAGCCCAAAAACAAATTTTAGGTATACTGCCTCCGCCATGGTCAGTGTCCAAGTCTCTCGCAGTAAGTTCAGGAGGAGGGTGTGACGTTGTGCAGTCTATATGGTTTTATAAAAATATGATAATAAGTGAATATCAGGGCCGGCTCCAGCATTTCTGCTGCCCCAAGCAAAAAAAAAAAAAAAAAAGAAACCCCCCCCCCGCCGCGGCAATGCCAAAACAAAAAAAAAAACCCCCCCCCCCCCCGGCCCCCCCCCCCGCCCCCCCTTGCCTCCTAAAGGGAGTGAGGGACCTGCCGCCCCTGAATTGCCTCAGGTGCCGCCCCTCTCCCTTGGCCGCCCCAAGCACCTGCTTGTTCAGCTGGTGCCTGGAGCCGGCCCTGGTGAATATAATGTAACTGGAATATGCTTCATGCAAAAGGTCTCTTGTAAGGTATCATTACAAAGCTTATAATCTACTGAGTGTGATCATCCTATTTGTATAAATATACCACTCTTGTATCTAAAAGTAGAAATACAAAATATAACTCTGAGGGCCTATTGTAATTATGCAAAGTCCACTGTGATGGGTTGGATTACAGAAACCCCCTTGGGAGCTGCCACCTGATGTACCGAGACTACCTCTGCTCCTGTTTTCCCTGCCAGCTCAGGACTCCAGCACCTTGTCTTGCTGAGCCAGACACTCCCGTCTGCTCCACACAGCATATTCCAGTTACATTATATTCACTTATTATCATACCTCCCAGGGATCAGCACATAGTTCCAGTGGCCCACTCCTCCTCTAGGATAACAGCCGCCTTCTGCAGCCAGCTAATGTAGTTAGTCCTGTAGATCAAGTGGTAGTTTGTTTTGCATTGCTGAAAGTTCAGGGTTCAAATGATCATAATGATGCAAGAATGGGGGGTGTAAGATTCTTACAGTTATACATAAAAAATTTTTTACTTTTTTCCTTTAAAAAAAAAAAAAGCTACATGTAAAAAATGGTTTAGGTTGCAAAGTCTAGCACTTGCAGGTTAGGCAATGCCAAATTTAGGGCTGCCTATGCAACCTTCGTTTGGCTCCCCGGTGCCTATTAATTATGGTAC